CATGTGGATGTGTCTCTTTGCAGGAGCGCTCTACTCCAGGAAGGTGACGCTGGACGGGGAGGAGGTGTCCCTTCAGATCCAGGACACTCCCTGCGTCGCCCTGCAGGTAACTCCTGGAGAGTTTTGGGTTGTTATGAAGAGAAAAGCTGCGTGGAAACTACTAACTAGCTGCGGGGCATTTCCTTTAAAACCCGTCGCCCTGTTGCTGTTTAACGGCGGCACAAGGAAGCAGAGACCAGATCTTTGTAGGAGTCGTGTGTTGCTGTGGGAGATAAAACCTCCAACGAGGGAAATCAGATCACTTTGTCTGCAAATGAGGATTTTAAAAGAAGAAATCCAGGCAGCGCTGTCGGGTGTTTGATAATTAGCATAGTTGGATCTTAGTTTAGCCCTTCAAGAATTAAAAATGTTCGACCTGATAAACGGAAAACCGAACATGGATCTGCGTTTTTTCATAGTTTTCTGTGAGTTCTTGTTGTTCGTTAACAGGTTATTTGCGGCGGATTAATTGCCTGGTTTGCTCATCCAGTTATGTTTGCTATACTTCTCCTACGGTGTCGTTTAATGCTAAAGTTTTTTCTTGATGAAAGCTGGACTGCAGCGTCTGAAAACGCACAAAGACTAAACTGCCAGCAGAAGCAGATGAAGGAAAAAAGGGCGAGTTAGCATCGGGGCGCTAATATTAGCTCAGTGATTTCATTAAACGTAGCATCTGTGCTCCGTTTTAACACCTTTCATCATCGTGCAACTCAAATTATGAAGCATTTGCTTTACTAGTTAAGAAGCTGCGAGCGCTCAGATGTGTAACTTCTGCACGTCAACTCTGAAAACTACTTAAAATCACCTTTTTTTGGTCTAATTTTATCCCAGCTGCACCAGCATTCATACAGAATAGTTTAAGTTAAATAAATCACAGTGCAAATCTTCTGCTTCACGTTTATCTAGGAGACATTTCTCATCATCTGTCAAGCAGGAAGAGAAAACAGCAGATTTCTGTGCTGCTCCGTCACTTTCTTTTACTTTTATTTACTCTATCGAGAACATAATGGCTCAGGGGATGAAACGATGCTGCAGATACGTCTCTGGAATTAACTGCCTCGACTTCTTTAGCTGAACTAGATCGTTCGGCGTGATTGTAAGTAAAAAACATAACGATGCCTTTATTTCCCTTTAAACTATACAGTTTGTTCTCTCTTGGATTAATCGGATTACATTTATTTAAAACATTCGGGTTCGGGTTAAAGGTTCAGAAGTGGGTATCTGTTTCTCCCATCGTTGGCTAAACGTCCAGCTTCCTCAAGGCCCCGGATGAGGACGATCAAAAAAACAGATCAGCTCGTTTCAGAGCAATTCCAGGAATGCATCTGAAGAGAGAGGAAGTGACCTCAGGAAGATCTGCTCGCCGCCGACGAGCTTAATGAGCGCAACGTGCCGCTCGGCCGCCTGTTTACCGAAGCAGGCCTCAGAGCAGCTCATTTCCTCCAGAGGGGAGATAGCCGAGGGTGAGGAGGGTGAGGAGGACGAGGAGGACGAGGAGGGTGAGGAGGACGAGGAGGGTGAGGAGGG